ACCCTCGTTTTATACCATTCCAGTGTTCGTATAGCGTTTTTGAAGATGGCGATAAATAATTTTGGAGAGAGGATATCATCTTGCTTATTCACTCTTTCACTCTTTTGACGTCGATGATAATATCGTTGTAGAATAGTGATGTTTTGTTGTGAAATTTTTATACAGCTCACCTTGAATCTTCGTGTAGTGAGTAAAACGCTCTGGGCGCACAGTGTTTCAACAACTTGTTCAATCTCAGCTGCGTCAAAGCCATTCTTTAAATTGATGGAACTGAGAGAGTGCGGTCTCTTGTGATCTCGCGATACATCAAAGAGTCTTGTTATCGTGTGCATGTAGTGAATTCTTTTCGAAACTTTTCAAAACCCTGTCCGCTCACAGCCGCTTAAGCATTAGAGTAAAAAAAACTATGTTATTCTATCCGTAAACTGTCCAAACAACTGATGGTAGATGTTGTAAAACTATGATGGACTATTAGACGCAATATCACCAATTTCGATAAATATCCATAGAGCAGACATATTGATAGTTCCGTTTACGTTGGGAAATAATGATGGTTGTTAGCCCCAGTTTATGCCACTCTATTTTTTGAAACAATTTTCGATTTTTCTCCGACGATGGGACATAAAGAAAAACATTCTCGAGCTCTTTCTCTATACTAATGAGCATCCAAACTGCGAGAATTACTGCGTACTCTCCACTCTTATCGCCAGCTCAAACGGATTTTGATTTCGTAAGTTCTCGAAGTAATAGCGTACCACATTTTCATGGTGCTGTGAAATTGGGTCTAAACTTGTTCTCTACTAATAGAGGAAGAACTTTAATCAAATAGTATAAAGAAAGCTGAATGAGGTAGACTGTTAGAAAAGTATAAAATATGATATTTATTCTAGAGATCTGGGAATGTTAATCCTACAGTTCTTTGGTGGTAAAAAAATTTGGCTCGTCCTCGGTGGCAATGGTGGACATTCACATGTAGTTTCTAGGACTGATTGAATTCCTTGCATAAAATGTTAATGTAGAGAGCGAAGGATTTTCTACAGAGCAAAATGTATTCCATTACATTCCATACAGAGGTGAGGAAGGAAGCCCAGCTAAAAGTAAACCAATACCAGGAGCTGGCACCGTCCTGTTATCAAAGTAGTCGTACGGTGGCAAATCTCCCTCTGATCCACAAGCGCTGCGAGTGCTTATGGTGGCGATAAATTGGAGCAGACTTGGCCAGGCTGACCTCGGGACTCCAGGAAAACACAATGGGCTAACTCCGAAACAGTGGAAATTTTGGTGGGGTCCGCACAACCAGTGAAGACGAAACATCCAAGTATCCAAGTAAATAAGTATGTTCCACAAGTGTGAGTAGTAGACTGGACGCTATTATTCATTACAAAGATAACAGGTAGTCGTCAAATTAACGTTATTACAAATATATACTGTAACTGCGACCTTTGCAGACATGATCGCGAGTGACAAAAATAGAACGAGGAAAGAGAGTGTTCTTCTTGCCGTATTGAAAAATATCCTTTTCCCTAATTCGGTAGGATTTCATCGCTGTTGCTGTAAGCTCTCTTAACATTGGACACGTAACAGCATGATTTTGACGAGCAAATTAGCATGTACGTGTGTCCTTCTTTTTTTTCCTCTTGTTTTTAGCATATAAACGTGGTCAAAGTGATAGCCGCAATTCGTATGATTATCAAGAATATATAATATAATATATTTTTGCAAGCTTCAAGTGATACGGAGGGAAGGACATTACACTTTATCAAACAGAATGCCTCTCGACTCGGCGCGAAACAAACAGGCAAATCTCGTTCAAAACCAGCACATGATTACATGGACCACAATGGTGCTGACACATGACACAACTCGAAGTTACAGTGATCCTCGAACCCGTAGTTACCGCTTCCCAAGATGCATGTATTATCCATTGCACCGCTGTGGCCCTCGATTTGAACCACTTTACTGCTTATCGGTGCTGTCAGCAATAACCATTCAACGGAAATGAACTAGCGAGTACAAACCGACTTTAAGGTAAAAAACGCCATCCCCATTTATGGTGAAAAGAATGCGAACTCCCTTCAGAGTGAAAAACAGGCTGATTCATTGGCTCATGCGTGCAAAACCTCAAAATAAGCGTTTCCGTGCGAGATTCTCGAAAAACGCCTTTCTTGGGCTAAAACGTGAAATAAGCGTCTTCCGGGCGAGTCGAAGCGTTCTATATGGAATTGGAGAAGTTCTACAGTAAAGACCATACATTCTTCCAGGTTATCATTGGAGATTTTAACGCCAAGATTGAACCAATTCTGAAGAACGTCGCATTGGGACATATGGATTGGAATGAAACGAGCAGGGTGAGCGATTGTCTGAATTTGTCGTGAGGACAAAGACCATACATGGTAACTCGCAATTCCTGAAGCCCCAGCCTCAACGTTGGATATGGGAGTCTTCCATTGAAGAGTACCATAACGAAATAGACATCACCTATATCATCTGTATCACCTGTAGACCCGTTGACCATCGACTGACCCAAGCGGGCGCCAGTAAATCTTTTTTCCCTGTCACGTGCAAGAGCAGCCTAGTGGGTTCTGCTCGCTCTAGGGACTCGTCGAGCATCATACCTTTCTTCTAGGCTTTTCGTTAAAAACTCTGACCATCGAGCTGGTGGCTTTCCTGCAGTGCGTTTAACATCCCGAGGAATCCAGTTACTAATGGCTCTTGTCCATCGGTTGTCACTCATGCGCATTACGTGTCTGGCCCACCTTATCTTCGACTGTTTGGAGTGCAGAACGGCAAATTTCGCTGACGCAGGTCGGAGCTTCGGATCTCTACCCTTACTTGTGTGAAATGGATACTCCTAACATTGCTGACCTTTCACCCTGCTTACGCAGCGACGAGGTTTCTGACGCATTCGCTAGCGCAGTAAGTACCGTTGAGTCGAATAGGCAGGCGCGGAGTCAGGTGTTCATTGTTCTCTTCACTACATCCTCGATGCTCTTGAAAGCTCCCCAAGCCGCTCGTTTTTTTTCCGCTCAGCTCTGGAGCTAGGTCGTTCATCATATTGATTTTCTGACCTAGATAGATATAACTGGAGCATTCAGAGATATTCGTTCCGTTGAGCGTGAATGCGGCATACAAAGCCAATCCGTTCCTCATGAACATCGTTTTTGTGAGGTTTAATCTAAGATCAATCTTTCCACAAGCTTTATCAAAGCCGTCAAGCATGCGTTCCGCCTGGCTAAAGTTTGGTCTTGTAAGGACGATGTCATCAGCAAAGCGAAGATGAGGTAACTTCCGACCATAGATTTTCACTCCCATATTATCCCATTCCAACGTTCACATGACGTTCTAGAGGGTGGTGGTAAATAATTTTGGCGAGATGGTATCGCCTTGCCTAACCACTCTTTTGACGCCAATGTTAATATCGTTGTAGAATGGTGACACCTTGGTTGTGAAGTTTTTGTACGGCTCGCGAAGAAGCCTTATGTACTGAGTAGTGACTCTTTGACTATCAAGAGCTTCCAAAACTGCTTCCATCTCAACCGGATCAAAGGCCTTCTGTAAATCGATGAAAGTGAGACAGAGCGGTCTTTTGTACACTCGCGATACTTTGATGACCGTTGTTACCGTGTGAATGTGGTCCATCGTACTAAATCTTTTCCGAAATCCTGGTTGCTCACATGGCTATCCTTTGTCTAGTGTTCTGTCAGTCCTGTTTAGGATGACTTGAGTGAAAAGCTTGTAGACGACAGACAGTAAGCAGATTGGGCGACAGTTGCCGACATCGTGTAAGTCACCATTCTTGAACAATAACACGGTCTTGCTGGTCTTCCACACAGTAGGGACCTTGCATTCAGACAGGTAACGTGTGAAGAGCCGAGCAAGTCTGTTTACGAGCACTGCCGAAAGGTTCTCCTTGTGTTCTGATGTTATCCTCTCTGGACCTGGTGCTGCTCGATTTTTCACCAACGAAATGGAATGTCGGATTTCGGAAGGGAGAACCGATGGTATAACATATCCGTCTTCCTTTATTTCATATGACGGAGGTGGTCGTGGATATCGAAGAGATCTGAGTAGTATTCGTGAAGGATTTTCTCCATTACCTTTCTGGACGCTGTAATTGTTCCGTCTGGTCGTCGGTGTGAAATCATCTTGGCCTTGCAATTGGCGAAGCTTCGGTGGGCTTTGCGAATGCTTTTCCCAGCCTCTGCAGCTCCGACTATTACTGCTACTCTTCTTCCTTTAAGATCTTCTTTTATCGTCTGTTTGCATTGCTTTGCAAGTTCGGACTTTAGTTCGCGGTTGCCTGCAGCTCGTACGATTCCATGCTGGCGTATCAGCTCGAGAGTTTCTGGAGACAGACGTCTTTTGGTGACTTTCGAACTCTGAGCTTTCATAGCGCCATCGTGAAGATGTTGAGTGGGCTGATCGTATTCCTTGTCGATTTTATCGGCAACGGTGTCATCCCAGTAGCCGACTAATGAATTGAATAAGTCCCAGTTTATGGTGGTTCTGGTACTTCGATTTTTGAATTTAGCTGCCTTTTCTCCTTTCCGCGGGAAATAGAATCTTTATCGAAGGACTATGATGTGGTCTATTTCGTTATGTTACTCTCCATTGGGAGACTCCGACGTCCAGCGCTGAGGGTGGGGCTTCTGGAATTGCGAGTTAACATGGATGGACTTGGTCGCCATGATAAACTCAGACAGCCGCTTACCCTGTTTATTCCATTCTAATCCATGAGTCCCAATGTGACGTTCTTCAGACGTTCTTCTTCGTCCAGTCCTCGCGTTGAAATCTCCAATGATAACCGTGGAGAATGTATGGTCTTCCCTGTAGAACTTCTCCAAGTCCATATACAACGTTTCGACTCCTTCGTCGTCATAGTTTGATGTCAACGCGTAACCGACAGAGATGGTCAAAGCTGGTGGTGTTGATCAACATCTTTTTAACGGTAAACGTCCGATTCGTGTTGTAAGCTGTTCGAATGAATCGATATTCCTGGACTAACTCGTGTTGACGAGAATGCCGACGCCGCCGACTCCTCTAGTGTCACATGTTCCGAAGAACAGTTCTTCTCCGATGTCATAGACGGCGTTGAATGGATGGAGTCGTCTCGTCTCGGCCAGTACGATGACGTCATACCTTATCCTTCTTGCTTGCATGAGCAAGTCCTCTATGGAGGACTGGGATGCAAGTGTACGTGCATTGTAGGTACAGATCGTCACCATAGTTCTTTGAAGTCCAGGTAGCTTCCATTGGCCCTGAGATTTTAGCAGCCTCTCCGTACTCGTCCTATCCAACACTGCCGAATTTGGGCTCTTTCGGGGTCAGGGAATGAGGCCCGTTTCTTTTACTGTTTGTATCTTTTTGATACCCACGTATTGCTTACTAGGCTCTGAACATGGAGGCTGGGTATACTCACGGGTAGCTTGCCATGCTCTCCCAGAGTAGACATGGAGCTTATTTGTTGAAGGCGATTCCCAATAGAAATGGCTATTTGCCGTGCCAAGTTTCGGGACTCCTCTCTCTGCTCTCTTCCCATGCACACGTTGATAGCTGTTCGAAACATGTTTCCTATAAGCGCCCTTTTCGTGAGAGAGGGGTGAGAGGAGAGGTAATGAACCGAGATATTTTTACTACCTGGCATTCGGTGCCACTTCGTAATGTAGCCATTTTCTGACAGGTGAATTTGGACGTTCAGGAATGGAAGCCATTTTTTTCGGCTTTTCTGGGGTGAGGTTGATATACTCTGACTGTGCATTTAACAACTCGAAACGTTTGTCCATTTCCCCTTGTGTTGAGCAAAGGACAAAGCAGTCGTCTACATACCTACAGTAGAGTAGCGGCCCGAGATCAGTCACCGGTGCTTCCACCTTAGACATAAATGCAATGGCAAGGCTTGGAGCCAGTCGTTGTCCCATTGCCAACCCTCTCATTTGGGCGTAGTACTTTCCAGACCATCTGAAGATTGAGCAGCTCAAGCATTCCTTTAAGAGTGCCATCAGGTGCTCTTTCCTGAAGCCATACATGTTTATTTCTCCTTCGTGTTGTGTAAGAAGTTCGAATATGGCTTGCATTGCGGAGTCATTCGACACGTTTGTATAAAGGGCGGTAACGTCGAAGGACTCCATCACGCACGCGCTGTTGGGCTGCGCAGTACGTAGACGATCCAGAAACATCTGGGTATTCGTAAGATGGGCTGGAATGTGTTTCAACAACTGGGTAAATATTAGGGTTAAAAACCATGTAATCCTATCCGTTGCCCCGTCTACACAGCTAATGTTAGGTCTAACCTTAAACAATGATGGATCGGTAGACGCAAGATCATCGCTGCATACTTACTTATGAGTTTTTATAAGCAAATACAAAATGGAACATGTTAGTAAGTCTCTTAGTTTCAGAGGTAACTGATGGTCTTGAACCAGCAGCGCTTGCCATTTTGACCCATTCGAGGTTCAATTTTCGGCATTCACTTTTAAACTCCTTCTCAGATGATGGGCGATAAAGTGAAGCATCTTCAATATGTATTCTTTCTTGATAAGCTTGCACGAGGTTAATAAATATATTTATTTTCGGCTAACGTTTCGACGTCTTCGTCTTCCTCAGAGCCGATGATCGGAGTCGATGGTCCATGATTGTTGTTCGTCTCGACGTTGCAGCTTCGCCTTCGTGTCGAGTCAGGTCTTCCTCAGTGAGCCATCTTCTCGAATGAAGCATCTTCGTTATCTCAACATCTAATTGATGGGAAATTACGACAAATTCTTCACCCTTATCACTAACCGATAGTCTTATGGTTTTCGATTTTATCAGTTCTCGTACCTTTCGCATACCACGTTTTTGCACTTCAGTGAAGTTTGAGCTGTGTCTTTTCGCGCAATAGTGATTAAGGACTTTGAAAGTTTCATTCGTAAATATCCGAAATTTAATATCACATAAACATGAAAAATGAAAAAAGTCTGTTGCTACCATATATTCAAAACAAATGAGACTCCAATCCGCACTGGTTTCTGAGCAAGCTCATAAATTGAACCAATTTGAAGCAATTACAGAGAGGACTACATTGTCAAGTCTGTTTTACAATTCTTTCGTGAAAGGAAATCTAAACCGTTGTGGGTGGATTCTGAGCGGCAACCTAAAACATTCTGAGCAAGTTGGGTAGCACCACAACCCATTCCAAGAGCACTGCGGTCCAGAAGTAGATGAAGTCACTATTTGGAAGTGAGCAGAAAGAACCATCTATTTTGTCTTCTTGGCTTTCGATAAGATCGTGACATTTAAGAAGGAAACTATTCTATGGAAAACAAGAAAGTGTACCAAGAACTACAACATGTTCAGTCGGAATTTTTTAATCGACATAGGGAGCGGATGGCGGACTGTTGGTGAAGTCCGTCATCACCAACATGTTGCTAGTTCGATTCCGCTCCGAGCCAACCGAGCTCTTATGCTTTCGGCAAATTGGTGCCGGACTTGTCTGGAAAAAAACTCACTCTGTGCAATCCTATTGGTAACGCTCCGCCTCGGTTATCTCAGAACTCCAGGGAGAATTGCTCGACCAGCATTCTACTTGAAATGAAAATCGTCAAGCAGCAACGGAAGCTACAAAGTAAACGTTGGAAAATCTTCGCTGACAATGGATACGAGGAAACAAAACGAGTGCGAGAAGTGCTGGGATCCACACAGTAGATGTGAAGACTGATCAAATAACATAAAAAAAACTGCCGACTTGAACAACTGGTGGCTCAGAAAGTTGACCGAGTTAGAATACGTAAATCTGTCTCATCTACCTAAATCATCGCCTATCTCCAAATAATTACCACTTCTTTAAACCATAATGTCCCATATGGGCACTGTAGTGTTCACAATCAGTGTGCTGACTTTCGGAGTTTTTTTTTACAGCACTGTATATAGTTGATCGATTAGTAGTCGAAGGGAGATCAAAATGGTAGAAGCGAGATCCGAAAAACATTTTTTTGCACTGAACGATTTACAAAAATCCTTTTTCGAAGAGGTTTATTGGTCAGCTATTCGAATATCAATGAACTGTCATTTCATTCTATTCACTATGGTCATTTTATAGAATGCGCGTATACGAAAAACACCGAAGTCGACACAAAATGGATACAAAACGATTCCAGGCAGTAACAGCAACGTATTTGCAAAATGGATCATGATAAAACAAAGTAAGTAGTAGCATACAAATCACTCATGTCAATAGAACGATAGAACAAGGTCTTTTCTATAATTCTGTCGCATTCACAACCCCTGACGTACTCCGGCTATTAAAAATTGCTTTTTTATCGTCAGAAAAGCAGAAGGGCCGCAGTCGACAAAAAATAGCTCGTATTCGATTGGGCCATTCACGAAATGCGGTAGCGGACCATTAGGGTTGAACATAGAGGAGTTCTCCATCTCATGAGAACCTTTGGTGATTGTGAAATTGTCGGAAAGGTCTTTGACAATTTCATCGACTTCAGAATTGCAATTTTTTTGGTTTATTGAATGAGCAAGGTTTCAAAATTTTGGAAAAACTGTGGTTAATCTTACTTTACTTTCAGTGGCAAGTTTGTTGCTAAGGAACGTCCATATGGCGTAGATATGCACGGATTAGTAAGCTTGCATATATCTATATCTATCTGCATATATGTACAAAGGCGTACATACATATAAATCATATCTACATGTACGCATACATATATGCACATGCGCACATACATAGATAAATATGTGCAGACCAGTATGCTAGCTCATAGCAAATTTTCTATTGACAATTATTAACTTCAATCGATGAGTAAGCCAGTTGATTGGATGGAAGATGGCCGTATTGTTATGAAGTGGAAAGCGATGATAACGCAGTCAGTTTACAAGTGGCTGCGATCTCTGACTTGGCTAGCGTTTTATTCGCCGAGATATTTTATCTCCTATTTCAAATTCTCCTACACTTTGAGGTGTTTTAATATCAGAAGATAATGTTCCTTCCAATTCGTTAACGATCGGTGTTGATTTCGTGCACTCTTAAGTGACGCGAGTAAAAGTAACTGATTTTGTCAATACTATGCGAAATCAATAGTTATCTCCTTCTCGATAGTCTACACACTTAATATGATGTTGCTGTGCTGAAAATCTATGGAGTTTCCTAATTAATAAGCGTTCTTATCAAGGAGATCCTCGTACCCAGTAAAGCTCATTTCAAAGCAAAGTTTATCTATTGAATCTTTTAAAAATATGATTGCCTTCATTGATTCGTGTCAAGAATTTTTTTTAATATTTAGGATTCATGAAGGCCGTTAGCATTTTACTCGTTGTCAGCTTGTATCAACTGATCAGCGCTTTCAAGTATTTAGTCGTGTCGCCGCTTTTCGGTCATTCTCATGCGAATTTCATGGGAACCATCGCTGACATGCTCACCGAAGCCGGTCATAACGTAGTGAGTTACCAAGCTGTTGCTCTTAACACAAAGCCAGTTTTTGAAGACTCTTAGGATATAACTCGTATGAAGTGCTGAGATATTTGCAAAACTCCGGACCACAAGTGTATGCAGTGGGGAACGAACACGCACTGTTGTCCTTACGGGGGAGCAGCGCACTTCACCACTACACCATCCGGGTCACTCTTAGGATTATAAATTCCATCAGTCTCCGTAAATGAGAAGAATTCAAGAAACATTTTGTCTTTCTGTAAAGTTATTTTCTTACTGTGCATTTACCCAAGTATATTCAAAAATTTTTGACACTACGGTATTAATGTTGTGTTCTGTCAACTATCGAACCGTGAATCAAACAAGCGCCACTACCAAAAGCACAATCTTTCCTATGGTGTGAGGCAGTGCATTGATTTCACTAATCGAATGGAATACGTTATAGATAACTCATCATTGAAAAGTTTATGAGTACTTGGGAGAAAGAAGGAGATAGCGGTACTCTGGCGATTACACTTTTGACATAAAACAAATGGACTGCAAGAAAAAGGAAACAAAACACCGGTTAAAGGGCTGTGGTATAAACCAACAGCGAATGATACCAACAGATATTAGTAAAGGATCTCTTCCTTTACCTTTCATCACATATTGCAAGCCTGCAGGGTTATTCAACCTCGACGGGGTAAATTTTGTCGATTTGCACAAGCCACATTTTTTATCAGATAGAGGAAATTAGTTATTGGACAAAATCGTAGCTTAATTTAGAAATGCTATTATCTCGCGTTTAGCCTTCAGACTGTGAGGGTCTAACCC